CTATGAGATACAAGATACAATATAATACAATCAAATAAAAGAATAAGCACAACTAAAAAAAGTTTCTAACTTTAGAATTATTTATATATATATATTTAAATATTTATGTATATTAGCTGTTAAATTTTTCGCAATTAAAAAAATTAAACTCTTTTAAAGAAAACATTATTAGAAAGGCAAAAAACATATTAAGTAAAATGTGTATGACTAACAAAATTAATACGAAATTAAAGGTCACACAAATAAAAACCTAAATTTGAAAGTGAAAGTTATTTATTATGCTAAATTATACAACATATTTTATATTTTATATATATATTAATAAGTATTAAGTGCAGTTTAAAAAGATATCTTTATTTGCTAAAAATATTTGATTATTACTGGCAACAAATATTTGGATCTACCGGTTAATAATACGTCTTGTTATTTTAAATACTAAATACATTTTAATCTCACAAAGGATTATAATTATTTAAAAATAAAAAGATAAAATAATAAGAAGGTAAGGAATGATATTTTTTAATTTTACAAACAAAATAATTTTATAACATTTAAAATAGAATTAAATTTATTTATTTTGATAACAAATCTAATGAGCCAGAACATCATGAAGCAATTTTATAGATACTTTTTACTTCAAATATTAATTCTGCGTCACAAAGAACTACAAAAAAATCACATTTTAGCTAAGTACAACTTATGAATGCAGATAAAGATGGATGAATTGTTTAGTTCAAACCCAGAGACAAGTGTCTGACTATAGACATTAAGTATTAAATACCTTCCTTTGCCAATTAAACATGTTTAAACACATAATTGAATCATTTAAATAATTAATTTATATTCAATAAATCATTCAAATCGATCCAACTATCTACCAAATCATTTAAATAATTTTAATCTTTCAAATCATTTTAATAATCGAATGTAGATCATTCGAGTCATTCAAATAATTTAAATCGGAATCATTCAAATCATTCGAATCATACAAATCATTCGAAACATTAAATATTCTATTAAATAACCATTTGACCTCGAATGATTGGATTCATCATTCATGAAGCCATTCAAATTATTATATCAAATCGTTAAATCAGTTATTATATTAAAATTACTTTATAAGGAACTAAATTTTTAATCAAATTAAAAAATAAGAATCTATGATGAAACATTTACTACACATAAATCATACATATGTACATTTGTTAACTATCAAAAAGTTAAAAATTCTGTTTAAAAAAATAAAGAATTGAAGAAGAATACTTCTGAAGAAAATGAATTGATAAAACGCTATGTTATTATTAAAAAAATGGTTTGCCAAATTTCGTTCCAACAATTTTGATATTGAGGATACGAATTTCAAATAGACCAGATTGAAAGTGATAAATAAAAATAATAAACCGGATTGGTGGATATAAGCCGCCAATACGTCTTTAATTTGTTTCACATTGCCAAGAATATAATCCATTTTTATATCGAATCATAACTAAGAATCAGATGATTGCCCACAACAATATTCAACGCAAAGGATCATGAAATATAAAAAAACTGGGTCAACAGCACTACAAAATCCAATATACACATATTATATAGATTTCAACAAAAATACAAAAATTTTTCATTCAAATAAAAAGATCGGTATTGATAAATAGAAAAGGTATAGTGTAGTCCATCAAAACTAAGCACACCAGAACTTTCGACAATTTAGATGGGATTTGTTATAATACATATGATTCCCTTCACATTTGGCACTCTTTTGAACGCAAAATTTTCATTTCATCACTATGAATGTTATTTAATAATAGCACTAAGGGTGTGTGCGAGTTATTCTAATTTCATGCTAAACTAAATGGGATTTTCCTTGGGATTTTTTGTAGTACACACATTAAGCAACAAAGTTCAAAAAAACGTTACCAAAACAATATTGTCAAGTCAATAAAAAGAAATCCACTTAGTGTTTTGCAAACAGCAAAAATAAAAGTATTAAAATACAAATATTTACAAAATTTATTGCAAATGCTTATTAAATCATGAAAAAAAATACATGTAAAAAATGTTCATTTTTTTTATAAAAATTTTCTAATATCGAAAATTATTTTTTTTTTATACAAATAAAACAAAACGTTTTAATAAAATTATTTTTTATAGTCAAGTTCCTATATTTTGATTCACCTAAATTCATTTTTTTATTTATTAAACATCTTATGAAAATATTAAAGTGACAACCCTGGCAATTTTTCTATTGAGGCTCGATTTAGTCACGTTGAAAAAATTTTAACTACCACTAAATTTAATTAAATATTTTAAATTTTACTACATTATCGGCCTAAGAACCCAAATCAAGAAGTTAAGCAGTCATGCAAACCCGATCTTTCTAAACTGAATCTAGTTCATGTCCAGAAGTCAGCCAAGAAAGTGTTAAGTTTTCTGAATATTAAAATGATTTATTAGATTATTTTCAAATATCTCCACATATTAGCAATAATACATTTAAACCATCTAAACTATAAACTCAGTTAATTATTGCTTTCTCTTGGTTCTACTAGATGAAAGGAAAACCTGTTTTGCAAAAGAAAAAATTATTTTCCCCTCAAGCTAATGGTATCTGCTCAAGTCAAAACCTAAGATCAGTTGAGAAAAACGAATTATATGAAACGAACAGGTTATAGCTAGCTGCTGTTGAACAAAATTTTGCAGTTCTTCCGAAAAACCACTAAAGTAATAATATCGATCAATTTAAAGACTGTTAGAATAAGTGTATTTAAGTTCAATGAGATTATAACGAAAAATAAAATTAGTTTATGACTTAAATTCGTTCCGTTAATTTACTGAACGATCTAGTATGTCTTTCGACATACTTAAAAAAGTTCTTTTAAAGGATTACAATAGACTTCAAAAATCACTAATCACTAATCAAATCAATGCTGTGAAGATTATTGCATTGTTATTGAACAATCTAGTATATCTTTCAACATATACTTATTTTAAAGGATTACAATAGACTTCAAAAATCATTAATTCTTCACAGCATTGATGTGAAGATTACTGGATTGTTATTGAACAATCTAGTATGTCTTTCAACATATACTTATTTTAAAGGATTACAATAGACTTCAAAAAACAATAATTCTTTATATCATTGAAGTGAAGATTACTAAATTATTATTAAACAATCTAGTATGTCTTTCAACATATACTTATTTTAAAGGATTACAATAGGCTTCAAAAATCACTAATTCTTCACATCATTTATTACTAAACACATATATTATTTATTACTTTAACAACTATAACATATATTAACACTTTTACTAACAAATTGCTTTAATGTCACAAAAGGGTAATTACCTTTATAAGTTCAACTTTTTTGTCCAAAAATAATACTATCACATTAGCGTTATTTAGCAAATCTAATCCAAATCAGATTAAAAACTTATTAAACATTTATTAAAAATGCACAACATTAAGGTACAATTTTTTTTTTATATTAATAAAAATCCGACTTAAAATTGCCGAAAAGATATTGCAATCCGCATCAAGTTCACGCAAAAACTGAGGTCATGCAGTGGTTTCCTCAAGCTCAAAGAACAAAAATACTTACAAAAAATGGAAGTAAAAATAAAATAAGAAGAAGACGAAGAAAGCATGCCAGGCAGGGTCTGCATTATGGTAAATGTTAAACGTTCCCACTTGCAGTTTGAGTTGTAGACGTATTTGCAGTGTGGCGGCAATATAATTAAATTTGTTGCACAGCTAAAAGTGCTGGGGGCTAAGCACACACATAGTTCCGAAGAAGCCTTAGCAATGAGAACCTAAGAATGCATTGCGGCGTGTAAATAGTGGAGGAAGGTTGTCATAGTCATATGCAAAATATCTCTTAAAGTTTGCAAAAATGTACGACTGAGTATTACATATTTTTCATAATTTCGCTGTTTTCTGTTAGAATTCCTTTTCTTTTCTTTTCTTTTCTTTTCTTTTCTTTTCTTTTGACTATTTGGATTTCCCCCTTTTCAAATGACTTTCGAATGGAATACATAGTTCCCAAAGCGAAGAGCGAAAGAAAACCAGAAGCTAAATTTACTGTAGTCCGCACCTAAGGCAAACGTTTAAGAAGCGTCAAGAGTTTATTTAAGTCAAAACGCCATTGGCAACACGCAAGCACCAGTACCAGTGGAAGCATTGATTTTTTCTTTCTTCAGTATTTTTTACTGTTTTTTTTAAAATATTTAATTTATTTTTATATTATTTTGCAACTTTTTTCTAATGCATTGTGCAATTTTTGAGTATTTTTTTTAAGCTTTGGTTATGCGAGAATTTGTTTTGAATTTTAATTTATGCGTTTTACTACCGATTACGATTATGCAAACTCAGTTCGCTAAATTTGAATGACTTACATATCGCATTTTTCTTCCTACATTCGAAGTATCTAAAGTAGGTAATGCATTTTAAAATGCAATATATGTGTTGTGATGATGTCATTCTATTTTAAAATAATTGAAAAATTCAGCTATGTAAAATATTTTTATCATCTATTTATTTATTCGTATTACAACTTGTAAAATTGATATGCTTATTTATTATATTAAACAAGTGTTTCTGGATTTATATGGTCACCGGTTTCTACATTAACAAAGTAAAGTTAGTTCTTAGTACTTAGAACAGAGCATATGTTAAATTTACTCAAATATCCTATATGTATGAATCATTCTATATAATAAATCATCTTATATATAGTGAATTATTCTATATGTTTTTGTATATTCTTACCACTAGAGACAAATAAGAGATAATAAATATATTCACAAATCTTTATTGGAATCACTTTTTAAAATAACGAAGCTCATGGAATGTGCTCATGGAAAGGAGGTGACGGTCATGTGGGTTAAAGGACACATCGGTATTGAGCAAAACGAGAAGGCAGATGAACTTTCAAAGCAAGGATCAAGCCATAATTTCTGTAACCCAGAGCCCAGAATACTATTGAGTTACAACATGACGGC